CCTGAGTTAGGGTGTTTTTCAATAAAATTCTGAAATAAGGCGTTATTCAATCACATTTCAAAGTTTTCTAAGATAGGGCGTTTCCGAACTGGCTGCCGAGATAGGTCACGAGATAATGTAACTATAACTATAGCCAAATCATTTGTTGAGATAAATATATGTATATAGTTGACGTAACTAAACTCTTTTCTTAGTGTACTTGCTTTGTTATTGAAAGCTTTAAAGGAAATTTTTTGTTAGTTTAGAGTTTTGAAATAGGCCGTTTTTCCAGCAAACAAGAAATGTATATACTTTTATCGATGTTTGTACAGAAACATTTTCTTTCTTTTTCTACATAAATGCGTGAAAACTTTCTGGTTAATCGGAGCCTATCACGCAGCATTGGCGATTGGCATAAGCCGCAGGGTGCACCAAAGTGATGAATAAATAATTGAAAGCGCAGCAGGGAGATACTTTTAGGCACTCTTAAATGATGAGCTCGCAAATCAAGTTACCTTAATGAAAGCAACTAAAAGATTCATATCAAAAATATAAAGATTTCAAATGAGAGATGTTTACGAAGTTTTTTTTGCTTCCAGATAAAGAGTATGGGTTCGATTTCATACACATTTTATATACATACAGTTGAAGGCGAGCTCAATCGTAAACATATAATTACATATACCTACATTTAATATGTATATAACAATAACTAGGAAAAACTATTTTCAAAGCGAAAGAACGAAGAAAATGGAAATTGTGTTTGCGCATACATATGTATACAAATGTACATATAGAGTTACATATGTGCTAACTCACATGAGTGCCCCAAGATTACAACATTGGTATGTACACTGAGGGAAAAAAATATTAAAATCAAATAGAAACGTAATTGATCTTACTATAAACGTCAAAGAAAGTACTGTATATGGGTAAATATTCAATTCAGTTACGCCTATATTAAAATGACCGCGTTCGTTATGAAAAAGCATCCGTGAAGTGAATAATCAAGATAAAAACAACAAAAAAAAGTATTTAATTTGCATGTTGCCTGCAGCGGAATTCGAGACCTGACCATCTCTGGGTATCAACAAATTGTGCGCACTCAGCTACACCCAGGCATATAAATTTGCTTTCAAATGTTGAATATCCATCAACACCACAGCGCGCGATTTGTACGGATAAACATGTACTATGTATGAATGTGTGTGTTGTCACCGCTCTCAGAGCGGCGCTCTGCATGCTTGGGGTGCGTATGTACACTCATATATATACTCAGATGTGAACAGTTAAATACGTGCGTAATAAATTTTGTATGAAAATATTATTTTTAAATTCGAACATTTTTAAACGATAATCAAATATAAAGTATTCATTTTTACTATGCATTATTTTCCTCAGTGTAGAAAACTGCTTCAGAAAAAAAATAAATAAATCAGCTGTTCATAAAACTTGCAACTTCTAGATTTGGGTTTTCGTAGTTTCGCGCAGGTTTCTCTCTGGTTGCTGGAAAGTTACTTGATAGTTCTTTACTAGAAAGTACAAAAACAAAATTTTTACCACCTTTGGAAAAATGTGGAAAAAGCAGCAAAGTCTTAGATAGTCACATCTCCTCATACTGATGAGCTCTTGTTGGTTATACATTTCCTGTACAAGCAACTACTTAAAAACTTAATATGTTTTAGAGCAAACTTGCCTCTTTTTATTCGAATGTATCGCATATGTTTGTAAACATATAAACGAACTGGTGCCTAAAAATACAGCGAGGATAGTACGGGTACCATTTCTCCGATTCTAAAATTTCTTGACGACGTTTGTACATCCAGAAAAAAGTCAGCTAAAAATATTTATCTTAATACATGATTTCGTAAATATAGCCAAATAATGTAAATATTAACAAATCATGTGTTGAGATAAATATATTTAGCTGACCTTTTTCTGGGTGAACCTTGCAGTAACGAATAAGTTGATTCCATATCGATAAAGAATCTAACGACGATTGCCGATAATTGCAAAAATAAATAAATAAATATGGCAATCTTAAAACCTATACTGTTCAAAATGCTTTCAAGTGTATTGAAGTCGACACTCAACTAAATGTGTTTCTCTCAACACATTATTTGCTTATAGTTATATTAGTTGCATTCTTTTGCAACCGAGCTACAAAAGAACACTCGCTTAAATGACGAAATCCACGCAAAGCAACAACCAAACTCGGCTATTTATCCGAGCTCAGCCAGGTCGGTTAAAAAATACGCGACCTGAAGAGTAGTGTTGTTAAGTGAAAAACTTGATCTATTGTGAATTGTTAATGGGAAAGTGGAGAGGGAAATTTGTGTTTCCTTATATACGTGACTTATATTTTAAATAAGTTTATATATTACGGAAATACCTGGCACTATTCCTCATTTAAATTGGTTCATGTTTCTTACCAGCTACCAACAGGGTTGCTTGAGTTGCTAAAAGGAAATTTTACCCGAGTTGAGCGTTCTTTTGCCATTCGCTTACTAAAAAATTCAGCTCTAATTTGGTTATATTTACCGAAATTACTTGTTATTTGTGTGCCTTTCCGTATCTTTCGAATCAATTCTCATATAAAAATATAAGAGTACCTTTAATTTCTTCATGACGCAATGGTCGGATCTAAGCCAAATTAGTATGGGACACCCTCAGAAGTACCATCTTTTCTTAAAAAAAAGTTATAGAAATCGATTTACGTGGTCAAAAGTTATGCGGTAACGTACATACATAAAAAAACAAAAACAAATTATTCCGACGAATTGATAAACTCCTCCTTTTTTGAAGTCGGTTAAAAAGAAATGTTTGGAATTTAGAATCTCAAGCAAATATTGACTTCCGAAAGAGGCTTTTTGTAAAATTTTTCATAATAGTGCTCTTTATTTGTTAAAGCTCACATCTTAGTTTTTTCGCAAGGTTATAATTTACTATGATTATTATGACAACTAACATTTTCGATTTCTAATTCTGACACCATCAATTCGTCTATTTTGATTGATTGATGACTTATATATATTAAATGCGACTTCAATTTTTTAATTTCGAATTTACGTATAAACAAGCAATATTTCAAAAATTAATGAAAGAAATCCGAAAAGTTATTTCAGAATGGCTCTAAAAAATCGTCGCTGTCTTTCCAAGATAAAATATTTCCTGGAGCCTCTTAATTACTATCCACAAATCCAACGAAAGTGATTCATGCCAATTTTTCGAAATTTCGAAAAGATATTTTTGTTTGCGTCCCAGTTAATAACAAAAGAAAGAAACCAAACTAGTGGAACTGTAAGGCAAACGAGCAATAAGATAGCTCAGAACTAATATCTTTCAGATCAGAGTATTCATACCCATGTTCATGTGTACATACATACATTCATGTAAGTATGTATGAACTCATTTGTGGCTGTTCATGCAAATTATCAAGCTCAAAGATCTTGCTTTGAGATATATGTGTGTAAGTACGTAAATACTTACATTTTAATGCATACACACATTTAAATCGTTTATAGGTTTTACAGAATTATATGGATTTACTTTTTAAATTAAATTATGTAAAAATACAATAATTAACCTATTCATTGTCAAAAAGCACAAATTAACATGCAAAATCGTAAGCATTTGCATTAGCGATACCCAGCTCAATTGAAATCCCTTTACGTGATTACCGACTAACTGCAATTTTTTTTCAAAAAGCTTCACCTTTCATTACGTTTGCATACTGGCAGTACCAGTGATGCCACGAATTAAGTGGGGGAAAATACCTCAAAAAGGTACCGATATTATGTTTTATTTTTTCTCTTTTGGAAAATTTTGGTTTAATTTAATGTCGGGTATTACATAAATTGATTTTTTTAATTGTTTTATTTGTATTGTTCCTAACAACGTCTTATTTCTGGGATCAAAAAGCATATTTACTTAAGTCGACTTAAAACGAAATTGAGTTGTGCAGCGCTATCTCATATCATAAAATTGCAAAAATCCGTAACTAATTAAATTCAAATTATAAGTCCCCACATCGTTTTATCCAATACAATTTTTTAGTTAGTTGCGTCTTTTTTGCATTTCAGCGACGGTGTGAGATAGGTTCTTTCTATATTAAACGAACTGTATATACACAGTTTTTTTTTTGAATTGTTCTATTTTTGTTCTAAAAAATAAAAATAAAACTATTTTTATTTCCATTTCCTTTTAGCTCCTTAAGTTAAGGGGTTAAGCAATATTATAAAAGGAAAAACCTTAGTTTTTGTGAAATTTCTATGAAAAAGGGTTTTATTAATTATATTTAATTATTATTATTAATCAATGATTCCTATTTCCGTTAATATGTACATATCGTTACCTTAGTACAGAAGGCCCTATTTAACATTTTTGTTTTTTTTTTACGTAGTGAAAAGAAAATCAAGATATTTACCTCCGAATTCTTTTGAAAAGCTCTATTTTATCTACAATGTAACTAGTTTTATGCTTCGGCAGTTATTTTTAAGTTCTTAAAAGTTTTTAATGGGTAATCTACCGACTCTTGCACAAAAAAAGGATTTGACCGAAAATTAGTTAATTATATACAATAGTTTCCAGAAACAAAAGAAATTTGTTTTACAAAAATATCGATAGCAAGTAAAAAAGTATCTTCATATAACCGGCGCACGCATTAAAACTATAAACTGCATAATAAACAAGGGTGCTTTTTACCGATTTCAATCATTTAGTTGAAAATATTATTGTGAGTATCAAATGTTGAAAACATTGTCAATGCCATTTTTCAAAAATGTATAATACTCTCACTAAGCCATAATCGCTCATTTCGATTTTGAGCGAAGTGGCTTCTTTAGTTACTAGCGTGTTTCGTGTTTCTTATGAAATATCGTAGTTTTTTAATTTTTCGAAAACACCATTATATGGGATGTGGGCGTAGTTTAAAACAATTTAAAAATAAAACTTAAAATGGAGAAATTCACTCATTATGGCATCACTGAATGCTAGATTTTAACAAACATATTCATACTTACATTTATGGCTTTTCGGTTATGTGATCAAACAGCAATTTGCTGCTCGTCTCTAATGAAGCACATAATTCTACAATTAAAATTTGATTACATCTAGCTGCATGATCGCTTGGTTTCTAGTTTGATTAAGCTGCTGATTTTCTTCTAGGTGAGATTCCATTTTAGACTAGTCCCTTTAACAATTTAGTCGTTTGATCGAATTCTTTTAATGAAGCCGTATTAAGCCCTAATTAAGTATTAAAAAATATTCAAATAATTTTAAATAAAAATATTAGTTAGGTTTATTATTCCAGAATTTCATATATACATACATATATAAACGCATATTTACATGTAAATAAGCTAAATTAAAACTAAATGTACATTGTCTAAGGACTGTAAGTGATATTATTTATATAGAATTTTTCGGAAAGAAATAAACCGAAATATGATTTTTGCAACGAAACGAAATTAGTATTTGACATCTATGTATTTATTTAGAATTATTTAAAGCCAAAAATCATTTTCCGGTAATTTTTTTGTAATAGTTTCAAAAATTCAAGATAGACTATAAAACACAAACTTCATAAACATATGATGTATGTATGTATATATGCCTGTACCCACAAATTAGTGTGTAGGAAATTCTTACTTGTTTTTACGTAAACTTTCTCTTCAGCGGGACAGGAATTGGACTACTATCCATTAGTTCACCCTTCCGTTTGCTTACTCGTTTCTTCTATTATTCCCAGCAGTGTTGCCGCGCCGTCTCAAGAAAATGTATCCCTGACCAAGCCAAAAATGTATCCAAATGTATCCAATTTTCTTTTTTTACATATAAATCTCATAATTTGTAAGAAAACCAAACATTTTCATGAAAAAGACATAATTTAACCCATCCTAAGGACCTGGAATACATGTGCATAAAATCAAACATTTGTAATTTCAATTTATAAGGTACATTTTTTGTGCATAAGTATTTTGCAAAGTAAATATAATAAATAGCAAGTACACTCTAAAAAGAGCATGTAAAACTACTACTGAAAAGTATCTATTTTTCAACAAGAATCTGTATAAATATACGTACAGGATGTTCAGTATTTGATTTTGAACTTGAGATCTTTAAAATATACACATATATAGAATGTTTAAAATTGCAAAAATTATCAAACTACAAATACATTTCATACTAATAATAAACATTCGTTATGTAAGAGTAAACAGGCAATGATTAATTTTATTACACGGCGTGCAAATTTGCACACATTAAAAGAGGAAACTTTTTACCTCTCTCAATATGCGCAAATAAACAAAATTTTTTTAGAATGTAGTCTTTTTAGTAAAATTCATTAAAGTTTCTTTAAATAATTCAAATTTAAACTAAATTGAAATCTTCTTTCTTTTTAAATTAACAAATGAAAATATGTGATATGAAAGAGATTACTACAGAAAGGCTATAATTTACTTCATATATATATCGTCGTTTAAAGTACAAAACCGCGTATTGTCATTCTGCAAAACCGCGTAACTGACATTTGCAGCCAAAAATTGGATTTGCTCACACAAGCTCTTGGCTCAATCCTTACCCATTCGTCCTGAAATATACTAGCCAGAAATGCGATTGCTTTATAAAAAAGAGAACCATTTTTAAATATAAGTGTTTTTACTCTCTACAAAATAATTTATGCAACGTCACATACGCGGTTTTGCATTACCTTGATACGCGGTTTTGCATTTTGTTGATACGCGGTTTTGTACTTTAAACGACTATATGTATATTAAGATCTGGTTTAAAGCATCCTTTTAAGCTAATTAAAGCAATCGCGCTTATACCAATTTTGGTGAGATCTCTCATATGTTCATTGCTTCGTTCACAAAAAAAAAACAAGTAAGAGCAGCGCTGTCTTCGGCTATGCCGAAGGCTTCATACCTTTCATGAACATCTGCAAATTTTACTTTGACAGATTACTGCTTTTGAATACATCTGGATACATCGATAGAGGAGTTACATACTTATATAAAAAATCGCCTCTAAACAATCAGAGGTATGGAGGATATACTTTATATGGCACCAATCTAAGTGATTTTCACTGCTATGTGATCGGTATGTAATCCGGTAACACAATTTATTGGGTTTAGTTTCCTACATAAAGGAGATATATCGCAAAAACTGGTATCTGAACAATCAGTGCTATAGGATATAAAGCTTATACAGCATAGATTTTGACGATTTTCTCAGTAGACTTTGTATTATTATTTATACAATAGCTTACGAAATTTATCGGTTTTAGCTGTCCAAATGAATTAGTTTTACATTAAAACCCCATATCTGAACAATCAGTTATATGGAGGCAATATATAAGTTACAGTGACACAATATTTGTTAGTTTTACTGTAAATTATCTGTTGATAATGAGTGAAAATGGTGCGAAATATCATGTTTCTAGCTGCATATATTTAGAAGTTATAACAAAGAATCTCATATCTGAACAATCAGTTGTATGGGAGCTATATGTAAAAGTGACCCGATCTTTGTTATTTTCACTGTAAGTCTTCTGTTGATAATGAGTGAAAACAGCTCGCAATATCGTGGTCCTAGCTACATAAATGGATGAATTATAACGAAAAATCTCATATCTGAACAATCAGTTGTATGGGAGCTATAGGTTATAGTGACCCGATCTTTGTTATTTTCACTGTAAGTCTTCTGTTAATAATGAGTGAAAACAGCGCGAAATTTCATGTGCCTAGCTATATAAATGGAGGAGTTATAACGGTAAATTTTATATCTGAACAATCAGTTGTATGGGAGCTATAGGTTATAGTGACCCGATCTTTGTAATTTTCACTGTAAGTATTCTGTTGATAATGGGTGTAAGTACTGCAAAATTTCATGTTCGTAGCTGCATAAATGGAGAAGTTATAACGAAAAATCTCATATCTGAACAATCAGTTGTATGGGAGCTATATGTTATAGTGGTCCGATTCTTTCGGTTCCGACAAATGATTAATACATTATAAAAATACACCCACCTACCAAATTTGATCCGGATATCTCGAAAACTGAGAGACTAGGTTGCATACAAACAGGCGGACAGACGGACAGACGGACATGGCTAAATCAACTCAGCTCGACGTTCTGATCATATAAGTATACATTTTAATGGGTCTATCTCTTTTTGTTCTGGTACTTACAAACATCGGACCAAAGTTATAATACCATTTCATGCTCATGAAAGGTATAAAAATGCTTTAATTTCACGCTTAAGTAGCGACCATATTTAATGAAAATCGATTTTTGAACGAAAAAAAACTTTATAGGAAATATACAATTTTGGCCTATTTAAAAAAGTATCCACATTTATACTGACCGGAAAAAATAAGTATCCCGCAAAAATTCGTTTAAAAATGTATCCAATTGGATCTATTTAGATCCAAACGGCATCCCTGATTCCCAGCAAAACTACCAGACTTATGTCATGCGTTAATATGACCCCAGCTGGTTACGTACCACACACAAATGCACATACATACTTATGTGTATATATAAAGTAGTGTTGAACAAAATAGTAGTGTGGCAGCCAAGGGTAAACAAGTTTTAAGAAACCTAAGCGCCTGGGTTTCCGTTGATTTACATATCCGTATTGAATATAATTTTGATGAAAACAGATTCTAAGTGGCAGGTGAAAATTTGTACGTACCGCTATTATACTGACGCTAGAACTAAAGTTCAAGTGAGCCCATGAGCGTCAAGTAGCCTAACTGACATTTCAAAGAAAAGTTGAGGTGCACCTTAAAATGCATTACTAGAATCGAAACGGTAATAGCCGTAGGCCGCCTTTTTAGTTTTCTTTCACAATAATATTACTGTAGCATCAGGCAGGTGCAATGCACTTTTTAGTACAGGACCGCATTTATTTTTTACAAATCCTGCTTTCTCGTATTACTGCAATTTTTTTTTAGATAGGCTCCTCTGGCCCTCATGACCTCAAAAGTGTTTTGGATAAAGCAGAGTACGTTTTACAATGCACTGAGGGAAATAAGGCATAGTAAAAATTAATACTTTATATTTGATTATCGTTTAAAAATGTTCGTATTTAAAAGTAATATTTTCATACAAAATTTATTACGCACGTATTTGACTGTTCACATCTGAGTATGTACGCACCCCAAGCATGCAGAGCGCCGCTTCTGTATATTGGTAAATATTCAATTCAATTACGCGCATATTAAAATGACCGCGTTCGTACTGAAAAAGCATCCGTGAAGTGAATAATCAAGACAAAACCTAAAAAAAAATTTTATTTGTTGCCTGCAGTGGAATTCGAACCCGACCATCTTCGGATGTTAACTTGTGGCAAGTATCTTTGCGCACTCAGCTACACCCAGGCATGTAAATTTGCTTTCAAATGTTGAATATCCATCAACACCACAATGTATGTGTTGTCACCGCTCTCAGAGCGGCGCTCTGCATGCTTGGGGTGCGTATGTACACTCATATATATACTCAGATGTGAACCGTTAAATACGTGCGTAATAAATTTTGTATGAAAATATTATTTTTAAATTCGAACATTTTTAAACGATAATCAAATATAAAGTATTCATTTTTACTATGCCTTATTTCCCTCAGTGCCTTGAGTAATAGTTATTTGCGAAAAATAGAAAAATATGTACGTATTTCCAAATATTTTAGCAACCTTTTTTACACAAATATTTCACCGGTGCGTTCGTATAATGGCGGCCACAAACATGTAAATATACCTGATTCCTAAGTACAAACGTATACCTTATTATTGCCAATATGCAATACGGACATCCATATATCGTGACCTAAGGGTGAAAAGGTGCCAAGTCCATTTTTAGAAATTTTTCAGGAGAGACGAAAAATCGATGTAGTTTCGTATTACCTGCCATTTTGCATCAAAAATTAACTTTGAAAAAAAATGGACTTGGCACCCTTTCACCTTCAGGTAGCGATATAATTTATGGCGTACTTGGATCAAGATTTCAGAAAAGTCTTCCGATGGGCTCGTACTCAACCATATTTCAGGCAGAAGTCTTCCCAATCGAAGTCTGTGTTCGCGAATGTCATCGTAGAAGGCAAATGAGGCTAGAACAAATATTATGTCGGACATTCAGGCAGCGTTAAAGGCCTTAGAGTCTTTTAAAACGGCATCAAGGCTTGTAAACTCTTGACCCACGAGCGAGCCCACAATAGCGTCACGCATTCTACAAAACGCACAACTGACAGTTTTTGCCAAAAATTGGATTTGCTCACACAAGCTCTTGGCTCAAGCCTTATCCAGTCGTCCTGATGTGTACTAGCCAGAAACGCGATTACTTTATAACTAAGAGAACCATTTTGAAATATTAGTGTTTTTACTCTCTAGAAAATAATTTATGCAACCTCACATATGCGGTTTAGCATCATCTTGATACGCGGTTTTGTAGTTTGTTGGTGCGCGGTTTCGTACTTTAAACGACGATATATACATAAAATAAAAATACTAATAATATAAATAATGTAAAATCACCACCTGAAATTTGTTCGAAATATTTCCATCGAACTGTAGCAAAAACGAATACTTTAACCAAAATACACATTGAGCACGTTGATAAAATTTAAGTCTAGATATAAATTATTAATACTATATTAACCTAATAGGCATATAAAATGTCAAATATTAGTGGCAATTATACGTACAAAGGATCGAATTTAGAGAGCTAAGATTGTGCCGAAATCAGGTAGATAAATATGTCGAAATACAGATGAAAGGGCCAAACATTCGCTTGAAAAACATAACAT